GGAACTCGAAGACCACGAAGTAGCCTACAGTTGGCTCCGGGCATTCAGAATGTGGCCCGGGAATGGAATTTTGGGAACTCGAAAAGCACGAAATGGCCTACAGTTGGCTCCGGGCATTCAGAATGTGGCCCGGGAATGGAGTTCTGGGAGGTCGAAGAGCACGAAGTGGCCTACAGTTAGCTCCGGGCATTCAAAATGTGGCCCAGGAATGGAGTTCTGGGAAGTCGAAGAGCACGAAGTGGCCTACAGTTGGCTCCGGGCATTCAAAATGTAACCCGGGAATGGAATTCTGGGAACTCGAAAAGCACGAAGTGGCCTACAGCTGGCTCCGGGCATTCAGAATGTGGCCCGGGAATGGAGTTCTGGGAGGTCGAAGAGCACGAAGTGTGTGCCTGTTTGCGAAAAACGAATTCGGACCCAGCTCCCCGGATGCCGCCCAGACCCCCCTGTGGAGTCATCTGCTGCTCTCTTTTGACCCTACTAGAAACCTATCAGTCTTCGCTGTTAGGTAAAAAAAGAGAAAACGATTCAAAAAATAATTGTTTTGTTACTTCTGCATAATTTTCTGACTGGAGAAGAACGATTACAGAAATAGTTTTCCAGCCCGCGGCCGGTTTTTTCTGATCGTCATTCCGGGTGCCGCCGCGTGAACACGACCCCCGGTCATTTATCAATCGTCATCCTCTATTGGGTCGGGCATGTCCTCCTACAGGCGGATCTTGGACGACACATTAGACATGGTCAACAAATAAGCTACGATAGTCAAACGAGCACGAAACATCGTCACCATATCATTGTTTGACATATTCTTGAACCTTCCTTTTGTAGAGGGACATGCCCGACGTACGTCCAGGCGCCCGTGCCTGTGCGCAATCCGATCCCGCCGCTCCCTGCTGGACCTCCCGCGGACCGTGTGTTGGACCAGCCGCGGCGAGTCCGGCCGCGGCGGCGGGTTCCCTCAAGGACCAAAATAGGGCGAAAACGAGGGAAGGGCAGCGGCATCGATACGTGCTTCTCCTCGGCCTTTGCGTCAGGACCCCTGCTCATACGCGGTCCTCGAAACCCTGACCCTTTCCTGATGAACCCCCCCAAAAAGACCCCGAACCCTCTGGGAGGGGACCCAAGTCAGGAGGGCCAGGAACATGAGGGATAGGGGGTCTGCTCTGCAGACGCACCAGGCCAAACCGCCCAGATGGACTGTTCCTGAGGTGAAGACGGCGACCTCAGTGAGGCCACGTCTCCATCCCGTTATCAGGGTTATGGGGTCCTTTTCCCTGACCTTCCAGGAGGGCTAAAAAATAGCACCCGACCTGAAAACCTTATCCTAGAGCTATTCTACGTCTTGGTTTTAGGCTGTTTCGCTCCGATTTTTAGGTTTTTAGGCTTCCGGTGCTAAAAAATAGCTCTCTGGAAGGTCAGGGTTGTTCTGCTTGATTCCCCACGGGCCGGTGTTCCATCCCAAGCTGCCTCTTGACGGCCCTGGGGGCCCAGCGATGGCGCCCCGGCAGCCGGAGGCGACCAGAAGCACCTCCTCTCGGCGTGATTGGCTCACGACGCGAGCATGTCTGGGTCTGCAGTCGGGGCGTTGACCTAAGGAACGCAAAGTAAGGAACGAGGCCCCTTTTTCCCATACGTTAAACTCCGGTTTTCCATGGAAAACCTCAGGCAAACCCAAGGAGCACTGTAAAGCAACTAAGGAACACGGAGCCCCTCCCCAACAAAAAGGGTTCCTTCTTCAGGGCCCCGACTGTACAGCGCGCCATGTCTGTAAGCATTGCAACTGAAACGAAGATGACCGAGCAAAACATACAAAGACGAACCCATGTTGCAAGTATTCGCGATAACGCCCGTTACCGGCACTGTCCCGCCCCCCCCTTTCCTCCCTAGCTGTTAACGTCACGAGTCGCGCGGGCGACGTCCGGGCATGAAACATGCCAAGGCTTTCCCAGAGCCAACGCGAATCGCGACGCTACCGTTAGGTCGGGCATGTCCTCTTACAGGCGGATCTTGAAAGAAAAATTACCAATAGTCAAAGCAAATTCAAAAGTCGTCAAAACAGAACGAAAACGCGTCACCAGACTATTTTGTACCCATTCTGGAATATTCCTCTTGTAGAACGACATGCCCGACTTAATGCTACCGGCCCCCCCACGTCTCCCACACACCCCTCCTGGTGACGCCCGTGATCTCGGCGGCGCGCCAGGCGGAGTCCGAGAAATCTTCCGAAGCCTTCTCCGACGACGCAGCATGCCTCTCAGAGGGCGCGAAGGTTTCCGAGAAGCCCCGCCACCTTCTTAGAAGGCCTGCCTCCTCTCACTTCCCCCCTGGGCTCACCGCCGACCCTGGTGCAAGCCCGTTATCGCTGGGGGACTCTTTGAATAGGACTCTGCTCAAACGCGAGGTGCAGTTCAGTAGCGCCATCGACCCTGGCGGACTCAAGCTGACTCCCGAAATAGGCTGCGGAACGGGAGACAGAGACTCTGGCGAGAAAATCCCCCATCACTCCGCAAAGACATGAAGGCTGGCCGGTACAGAACGGCTCCTGAATCAATTAAAAGACCTGGCGCACGTGTCACGGTGCACGCCCGTTACAGTCGAGGCTGATTGGACAGCGCACGCGAGAAGACACAAGACCCTTCCGAGGGCCACATTGTCATGGAAATGTCGACGGCATGGGTCTTGAAAGACAGGACACAAGGGCACCCTTGATTTGGCAGGGTCGACCTACTAATTTTAAGTCGGGCATGCCCTACTGCAGGCTGATTTTAGGCAAAAGTAACAAATCGTCAACAACTCATCAAAGATAGTTAAAAGCATGAAAAATCGTCACCTGATTATTTTTCACTATTCTTGAACATTCCTCCTGTAGGAGGGTATGCCGGACTTAATATTAATCAGCCTCGAGTGTATCGCCAGGGGAATGGCCGAGACCCTCTGGACCCCCTGGACCTCTCCCGGGGAGCGTTCTAGCCAGAATTTCGAAGCGAATCCAGCGTTGGCGACGAGGGCCTCCGAGGAGGCCCAAAACGGGGAAAACGAAGGAAGGGAAGCGGCTTTGGCATTTTTCGAAGGGGCCCAGGGACACACAAACGAGTGGACACAATCCCGGGACCCCCAAAACTCTTTTTCAACATCTTCTCGATGTCTGTCTCCCCCCCCCACTTGCCATATCTTCCGATCTTCTCTTGGGAATCGATGATTTGTTAGCGCCTGTGTGTCTCTTCCCCTCTTGACTTCTCCTCTTCTGCACTATCGCTCGGGGACTGGCCGAGACCCCCCGGGCCCCCCCGGACCGAGGCCGCGGCCCCGCGGCGCGGCCCGCCGCGTCAGGCCGCGGGTGCCGCCTCGCCGTAGCCGCGGGCTCGCGGCACGCCTCCCGCCGCGCAGCCGGCGACCCGACGTCGACAGCGACGGCGACGACGACGACGGCGACGACGACGACTACGTTGCCGAGCTCGGGGGGGGAGCAGCATTGTCTCCACGCGGCCGCGCGGTGTCTGGACGGTCCCGCGGTTGTCCCAGGCCGCCGGGCGGTGGTCCAGGTTGTCCCGCGCTTGTCCCACGGTTGTCCCGCGCGGTTGCCCCGTGGCTGTCCCAATACGTCGATTGGCATATGAGTCGGGTATTGGTGGTGATGATCGATGCTGCTGGGGACTGCGGATTCGACATCAGCCTTATATTTAGGCGTTTGCATGTACATATGCATACATGTATATGCAACTGTAACTCCCGGCATGTACACGTGCACATACACACAGTCATATAACGGACTCATGCACAAACATCTATACATACTTATGAGATGTGTATATGTACTGACCCATGCATATACACGCATTCAAGCACTCACGCAGAGGGAAATATATTACCGGCATGCTGCGATCCGTTCACAGCACTACAAAATATGTACATATAGATGTACACGTCATTATCCACACAACCATACACGCGTACACGTGATATTAACGTACACTTGCGTGCACATGGATGCATACGATTGTGTATGTGTGTATATATACATATATATATATAGATGTCAAAACACATGCGTACATACATGCGTACATTTATATACGTATAAGCAAGAACATAAGTTGACTGGTGCTTCCATTGCGAAGCAAGGATGCAACCAACCCCCCAAACCCTTCTTGTTGCCAGAAGGACGGTCGTATACGTAACAAGCACGGCTTGCGCATGCCTGCAGCGGTCTGGCGGGGCCTCCCTGGAGGGACACAGACGGTGCTGGTGGGACTGGTCGGCACGAACCCTGACAAAAGACATTGTATGCGAATGCCTGCGGTGTTCTGAAGCGGCCTCCCCGGAGAGGCAGAAGGTGCAGGAGGGATGGGAAGAGCACGATTCCTGACAAATGACACGGTCCGCGAGTGCCTGCCGCGGTGTCGCGAGGCCTCCCTGGAGGGGTATTGCGCTGGCGGGACTGGTGGAGTGGGAGGGTGGCCTGGCAGGAGAAGGAGGAGGAGGAGGAGGAGGAGGAGGAGGAGGAGGAGGAGGGAAAGGAGATGAGAAGGAGTGGGGAATGAGAAAGCGAGAACCCACCGCAGGATGTGGGGAATCATACAACTTGCGAGTGCCTGCCGCCGTCCGGCGGGGCCTCCCTTGCTGGGGCAGACGGCAGACGGCGGTGGTAGGACAGATAGAGTGGGGGGCAAACATCGCTGGTGGGACTTGGGGTGAAAACTGATGCATGTAGGACGTGGGATTCTTGCGGTGTGTCGGGAATGCAGGGGGCCACGGCGAAAAGGAAGATCGATCGATCGAGCTCTCGGGTCCGTTCGGTGCTACTCCCCCTCGACTGGAGCTGAACTGCGTTTCAAAATGAAGAGGAGAAGGAGAAGGAGAAAGAGGAGGAGGAGGAGGAGGAGGAGGAGGAGGAGGTCGAGGAGGAGGAGGAGGAATTAAGGGGGAGGAGAAGAGGAAGTGGGGCTGGTCCGGTTCTTGCGACCCTTTACTGCTGCCCGCGTGGCAGGCTCGTCCAAGGCCTACGTCGTCTCCGCGCGCGCTGCGCGAGCTCGTCCAGGCTCGCTCTGCGCGAACTCGTCCAGGATCTGCTTGAATGCCGCGCGCGTCACGCCACCGTGAGGCACCTGCACCGAGACAACGCCCAGAGCACGCGCGTTGCGGCAGTGCCCATGCTGGTCGTCGAAGAAAACCATGTCCTCCAGAGGAATCTTCAGAACTTCCGAGATGCGGCGCAGGTGGGTCTGCTTGTTGCCGAAGCGAATCTCTGTGTGGGCGATGCAGTCCTGCATCTTGATCCCCTCCGAGACCTCGAACAGAGCCAGCAACTCCCGGGCCCATGCTGGCTCGTCGCAGCAGGAAGCCACGGCGATGGCAGCCCCTCCGAAAGCCGGGTCGGTGCGGATCGTGTTCCACACGTGGGCCACATCGCCGAGCAACCGCACCGTCTCGCCGCCGCGCCTGGACCGGCACACGTTCCTCGCCCCGTCGTAGCTGAACTAGGGGAACGAAAAGTGGCATAAGCATAAAAACTCGGAAGTCCGCGCGGACTTCTTGGATTCGCGCTGGAACCTCCCCCCTGGCGCGCGGAGCGCGCCAGGGGCGGCGCCAGAGGCGCCGCCAAGAGGGTTCCAACGCCGATCCGAGAAATCCGCGCAGACCTCCGAGTTTTTATATTTATGTCTCTGTTCGTTCCCCTATGAACGGCGCCCCGGAGCTCATCTGGTACATCTCCGGTGTCCAGCAGCAGTTGTCCAGGTCGAACACGAAGCACCTGCCGACTGCACGCAAGAGTGACCCTAGGCAAAGGGGTGACCTCGGGCGCGCGGCTTCCTGGGGGCCCAGGGGGAACCAAAAACACCATCGCGCAAGAAGCTGCTACCGCATCGCGCTCGGCGATCGGGGGACCCCATCGGGCCTGCACCAAAGGTCCCTCCGGCGAACGGTCACTCTCAATCGGGGATGGACAGACCCCCCTTTAGTAAAACGTGGTTTAGTGAAAACGACCTGAGGCCCAAACCTGGCGGGCGCAAGCCTGGAAAATAACGGCCACGGCGCCCTCTCGAGAACCTAAAACGGACAATTCACTAATCGACGTGTCACTGTTGGGGGTTCTGTCCACCCCCGACTCAAGTGTGGTCGAGCCTGGGGACGCGCGCGGGCGGCGCGCGGCCCTCTGGCGCGGCGGCGCCCTCCGTGTCCGAGTCGGCGGCCTGCCCGGTGCTGGCGGCGGAGCCGCCGCCGCCCGGGGCGTCGTCGCCCATGGCCCCCGCCAGGCCCAGGCCTCCGACGTCTGCGTCGGCGCCTTGTTTTCCATGGCTTCCTCGGGTTCCTCTGCTGGGTTCCTCCTCCTCCTCCTCCTCCTCGACCTCCTCGACCTCCTCCTCCTCCTCCTCCTCCTCCTCCTCCTCCTCCCGAGCAACACCTCGGGGCGGAGGTGCCTCGCCGCACTCGGCCTCTGGGTGCCTTCGCCGGGCCCCAGGACTGTCAAGAAGCGGGACTCGGGACGAGGAGCCCGCCCCTGGGGAGAGGGTCGAGACCGCTGGGGACGCCGTGTGAGGAGCTCGAGACAGCGTCGGGTGTCTGAAGAGCAGCACCGCGCGGCCCGTGTCGGCCAGCTCCAGAACGGCTCGGGCCGCAGTGGCTACGTGCAGGGTCTGGGTCCCTTTGAGACGAGAGCGATGTCATGATGCGAGTTGCGAGGGATGATGCGGTCCAGGACTGCGGGAGTATCTGGCGGCCCTCGTTTCTGCATCCCGTGAGGCACATTCGGAACCTTGGGGGTCGGGGAAGTCTTGAAACGTATCATTGGCATCACCTCTTGCTCCCCTTGTCATCATTGTCATCATTGTCCTCATGGTCATTCTCATCATTGTCATCCTGATCTTCTGCTGTTGTCGGGAGCCAACAGAGGGGGGGGGAGCTAGCAGAGAGGGGCGGGCCACCGAGTGGCGAACCTGCGCCTTCCTGGGCCCAGGGCAGCGTGGGGAAGCCCCGATCAGCGACGAGTGGGTGATCGGGGGTCGATGTTCCCCCCCCCCCCGATCCCATCCTCCTTGTTCGGCGCACCCGATCCCTCTTCCATGGCCCATGGCGCAGTCATGGCCCGCACTGGCGCTCGCAAGCGAATCTTCAAGTGGAGGGCCCGCGGTAGGTCTCGCCTTCGTCCTCCACCTCCCCGCGCCTCTGGCGCTGCTGCTCCTCCTGCTCGGCCTGGTCGTCCGCGCGCTCAACTCACTCCTCCTGTAATCTCTCTCTCTCTCTCTCTGTCTCTCGGCAGGATCCAGCCGCAAGTAGCAAGATACAAAGACGCGCGTAGGGCAGTCCAGGGAAGGAGCATAGCTCAAGGCCCCAGTCCGACTAATCGGATCACCTCCGTCTTCCCATCCCCCTCCCTCCATTCTCCCCGCCCCTTCCCTTCTCCATTTCCACCTCCCCCTTCCCCCCTTCCCCCCCTCCCCTCCTCCCCGTCCCTCCTCTTCCTCCTCCGCCTCCCCCTCCTCATCCTCGTCCCCCCCCTTCTCAATTCTTCTTCCTTCTAAGGAACCCCTCCTGATTGCGCCACTGAACGTGTTGGTGGGGCGGTCTGAGCGAATCGCCTGAGACACCCTCGCGGTACATGGTCCCCAAGCTCGAAGCTTACGACAACCACGTGCGCGGGAGGTTGGTAGGAGTTTTCAAGCTGGGGCCCTCGCCTCAGAGGAGCGCGCACTCGTGCCATATATCCCAGCAGCTGCGCGGGTGTATGTAGGGAGGTTCGTCCTCAAATAATGGATCTGGACTAGGCTCAACCCACGTTCGTATCAAACGTTTCCGGCGGCTGTTCGGACTGACAGCGGCTCTCGTTCTAGCGCTGCGCATACTCGTTCCTCACAATGAAGTCAGCCGTTCTGACGGAGGGCGAATCGTTTAGTGATTCCTGTTCAACGCGTGATTATATCCCCCTCTTCCTCCGTCTCCTCCTCCCCCTGCGTCACTCTGCAATTGCTCTATAAGAATGCTACTCTCCTTTCTCCCCAGAATCCGTCCGGAAGATATTCGGCTCTCCACGCATTGTGAACAAACACAGGGTTCCATACGATTGTGAACGTCTTCGGTGTCTCAAAACAATGCTCCCGCTGCTCCGCCTTCGCCTGGTCATCCTGCTCCTCCAGCTCCTTCCACTCCGATTGCTGCTGCTGCTGCTGCTGCTGCTGCTGTTCGTCCTCGTCCTCCTCCTTCCATTTCCTTCTCCCTTTCCTCCTCCTGTTCCTCCTCCTCCTCCTCCTCCTCCTTCTTCTCTTCCTTGTCCCCGTCCTCCTCCTCCTCCTCCTCCTCCTCCTCTGCTTCCTCCTCCTGTGTGTTCCCGTTCTTCGATTGCGCGCAACACGATGATGATAAGGGAGGGGGAGGGAGTTCCAGGTCGGCCACACGCGTCCACGGCTGGAGACAAAATCAGCGCCATGGGAAGGGCTGGGAGGGAAGGGATAGGATGTCAGATGTGGCGCAGGCGCACGCTTGTCTTCCCCCCTCTCCCTCCTCCATCATCCCTCTTCCGTCTCCCCTCCTCCCTTCCCTCCTCCCTCCGCTTCTTCCACTGTTCCTCCTCCGCCCCGGATCGGCACGCGAGGGCGTTGCAGGCGAATGCCTCCCCCGTCCCCTGTCGCATCCCTAGAACAGCGCGCTCCACTACTCGTAACGTAACTACTCGCAAATGGCTTGCACCCGCCGCGTGGGGGTTACGATCGATTACATCGAGGAAGACATAGTTTCTTTTTCCGACGCTTGCGAATAGGCTCTTGGCGAGTAGCAAAACGCGCTCGGTGAATCCCACGGCCGCTAGATACGTCGCTGTGAACAGCCACGGGCAGAGTCCCCGACCCCGTCCTTGCGCGGGACCTCTCGTAACGAACCGACTAGTGAGGGCCCCGGACGGCCGCAAACGGACGCCGAGATTTCAAGGGATCCTCCCGCCGCGAGCGCGTGAGAACCGGTCAGCACAGACTGGGCAGCAAATTCAACCAGGAAACTCGTGGAAACATTGTCTTTGTGACTTGTTTGTGCTGACGGGTACTGGCGATTACGAAGTCGCATGCCGCATGAGATCTCGGAAGTGCCGTCCATGAGAGCGCGCACACCTCTCAAGAACAACAAAATGGACAGCCGGTGCAAGGGGAAGTGTGGAAAAGCCCCCGACTTCGTCAGCGACTTGTGCTGACTGGTCAGCGCGATTAGCGATCCCTCCGCCAAGCATCCGCTCAAAGCCTGCCCCCAAACCTCTGACGGGCACCGTCCTGACCCCATCCTCCGATCCGCGTCGAGCCGTGGCGACCCATACCGACGAGAGCCGAGAAGGACTCCCAAGAGCGACGCCGTTCAGTGCCGGAACGGACCTCCGGGGCGGGTCTCACGGACCAAGCCTCCAAACGTCTCCACGAGGCTTTTCGAGGCCCAGGTCACATGGCAGCTCGCGCAGGCCACCGCCTGGCTGAACGGGGAGCATCAATCGGGCGCCCCCCCCCAGCAGAAACTGCCAGGGGGTGCGCCATGTGTTGCGCCATCCGCGGGTTGTGTCATGGGATGCGCGATCCATGGGGTGGCGTAACAGCTTGAGCCACTCATCTGATGCGCAATCGCTTGCGCCATCTAAGGGTTGCGCAATCCATGGGCTGCACCAGCCATGGGATGCGCCATGGGTTGCGCCCTCGGTGGCCGGAAATAGAACTGCCTGCTACCGCTTCCGCCACGAACTGCGCACTCGGCGGCAGAAAACAAATCCGCCCGCTGACGGGTACGCCGCAAGTTGAGCCCTCGGCGGCCGAACATTGAACTTCAAGGGGCACAAGGACACACAAATAAGTACACACAAATAAAATGATGCCCCATATTTTCCCATATTTTCTGGGTTTTTGTCTTCCCCCCACACTTCCCATATTTTCCTATATTTTCCTGGGAGTCGACGATTAATTGTGTCTGTGTGTTTCTTTCCCTCCTCAGAACTGCCTGCTAACGGGTGCGACCAACCAATCAGTCCGTCAACCCGTCAATCCATCAAACCACCTAGCGGACAGCAGCTCAAAACAGGACGCGCCTGGAGCAAACAAAACGCAATGCTTGGTTGCAACCTCGGCGGACGCTTAGCGCGGTCGAGGCAGCACACCAGGCCACGGGGTTGCGAGTGGATCACTGGGGGCGGAAGCAAGGAGGGTGGCGCGAGCGAGCAAAAACAAACACGCCACAGAAAACCTCGACCCACCGAATGGGGCCCGGGGACACAAACAAGGAGACACAACTCCCAGGGTTCCCCATATTTCCATAGTTTCTAAACTTTCGTCTTCCCTTCCACTTTCCAAATTTTTCCGATGTGCACGGGGTTCGACGACTATTTGTGTCTGTGTTCTTTTCCTTCCTGGCCTGCTGTCCTCCTCCCCCTCTTCGGCGCGCAGGCCCGCTCGACGGGCGACGCCGTCGCCGTTGGCCCTCCCTGCGCCGCCGGCGTCGTCACCAGACACCCGACGCCCCGAATTTTCCCATGCGGGGCCCCTGGGACTCGCGACCCTCCGCGGCGGCGCGCACAGCTGAAGGGAGGATACTTAGAAGGAGGCTGCTTAGAAGGAGGCTACTTAGAAGGAGGCTGTTAGGGGCAGGCCTACTTCGAAGGAGGCTACTTAGAGGGAAGCTACTTAGAAGGAGGCTGTTTGTGGGGCAGGCTTCTTAGGAGGAGGCTGCTGCTTAAAGGAGGCGCCGGCCCTGCATCGACAGGCAAGGCCCGCGCCCTCTAAGCATGGGGTGCCTGCAAGAAGCCTCCCCCCCTCCTAAGACGACGCGAAGATCGGGACAACATCGGATCGGGATAACTCGAAATATCTCTGAGCATCGGCGGGCTTGGAGGATGTATTGGGCGCCGCGGCTGCTCCAGAGCGTTCCGGAAGGCCCCGAGAGCGCTCCGGAACGCTCTGGAGCGATTTATCCCGATCCTGGCCCTGTTTTACCTCCTCCTGCCCCCCTTCGCGCGTGGCCGACGTCCTTTTCCAGGGCCGCCAGGTCTGTCGCCCTCGGAGTCCGGAAACGGGCAGAACTGGTCGTTTGCAATGCGGGGCCCCCATGAAGTTCGAAACTCGGCCGCCCCGATGCGCAACACGCAACCCGTGGCGTGTTGACACGGAGCTCAACACGCAGATGACAACGTACGTGTGGCGCGATACTATCGCCAAAACGTGGGCCAACACGTCAAGCCAACACGCAACGTGTTAACATGGACGTTTTTGAACGCGGCGCGCGTTGC